TTAATAATAAAAATATTAATTAAGCTTAAAAATAAATTGATATTGTAGGGATACTATAAAAATCGACATACAAAAAAAAGTATTTGTAAAAGTATTTTATTTAAGTACTTTATTTTGAATTTTTTTTATGCGTATTTATTATTAATTTTTTCGAAAAAAAGTATTTGGGATAGGATGAGCTACACCCGGGGAAGTATGAGCTTTCCCATGAGCCGCTTTTGAGCTTTATAATATTGACTTATTTTAAATATTAAAATAATATATAAAGTATCCCCAGATCCTCAATATCTAAAATATAATTTTAAGAAAGTTTAAGCATATTTTTTGTTCAAATAAAGAATACTTTTATATAGAATAAAGTTTAATCTTTAATAAAAATAGTTATTGGAATTAAACTCTTTAATTGTTTTTTATTTATATTTAAAAAGTTATTTGTGAGAGTATAAATCATATATTGTGTTATAAATATTTTATATGTTATCCGATATTTAAAAAAATATAACCGTATATGAAAAATGCAGTTATACATATTTGATTATAAAATTATCCATTAGAGTTGAGCACTCAAGAAGAAGACATTAATTCTAAATAATTTTTTTTGAAGAGATTTATATTCAACATTTTAAAAATTTGTCCAACTGTGATCTCCAGTTTAAATGAATGAATAGCCCCAAAAAAACGTAATATGAATTCATTTTATATATCAAAGTAAATCAATACCAATATTTCAAGCGTTGGTGAGCATGAAAAAAAGACTTAAGACCTCGTTTTAGTTTTATTTCTAAACAGGAATCTGTTGCGCTGTCTATATATTACTCTAAGCAAAATAAAAAGAAAGAGGCTATTCAGATTAGATTTAGTACTCACGTAAAACAGAATAGGGTTGTTCTAGTTCAAAAACTGAATAGACTTTATGCATAAGTTTCAAAAACTAGGCAAATCAAGAAACGGCGAGTAGGAATGGTGTTTTTAAACAGAATTTATTTTTGCTGATCATTAAATAAAACTGAAAATTGCAACCTTTTTTTTATACTTATGAACCCGTTATAAAAAACATGTTTTTGTAAAACAAAAAGTAAAGAGAAATAAATTTTATAATTTGACAAACGGCAATACTTTAATACTAATTAATATTTTTTAAAAAGTTATTTTTATAAAGTTATCAATTTTTTTTAACACTTTAATCAATAAATTCGTACATCACGTTAACAATTTCGATTAAGATACAAAATAATAAGAAAATAATCAAATTTATAAATTTTTAAAGGTTAAAGGCCAAGAAAAAACTTAGTTATTTTTATATCACTAATTGAAATAGAAAAGGTCAAATAAAATAATATACTAGCTATTAAAAATTTCAAAATTTAAAAAATAATCATAAACACTCAAAAAAAAATTCCAATATATTTTTTTATGATAAAATAGCAATATTTAATGAAACTCAGCAATAATAAAATTGTATTACAACTTCATTTGTCTTTATAACTGCTGCTATTTTTTGTGGCATTAAATTAATTAAATTTAGTCGCACATTCTGAGATTTTGATCACCATATAAATTCTAGTTTATTATTCAAAGAATCTTTTATTATAAGTCTTAGGTCACTAATTTCTTCTAAACTTTTATTTGATTATATCTCAATTATTTTCAATAAAAATGGCGACCAATCTAACAAATTTATATTGTGAACGGATCTTTAACCGGGATTTTGTAGATAAAGAGATATAAGGAACTTTATCTTGCTGGGAGGTAAAAATTTGATACATGTCTTAAAATGAATGGGTGTAATCGGTTATTCTTTCAGGATATTTTGATATTTAACACAAAACACATTATGTTAATTATAAAGAAAAAAAATCATATTTGCACTCATTCAACCCCATATCATTTTACTATCTGAAAACTTAATTGTCAATTCTTTTGCAAGCATACCCTATTCTTGGTTCCTGTAGGATATTTAGTTTTCTTCCCTAGTTGCCTTTTATATTTGAAGACTAATTGGAAATATTACGTATATTTGTAAGTATAGATTAATATGCAACGAATAGAGGTTCTATGAATATAGTTCATAGAAAGAAATGGCCACTTGACTCTTAGTACAGATACGTTGATGCCTTTAAGTAAAATATTAGTAATTATGGATAACGGTTTATAAATATCTTTCGATATTATCTCATAACTAATTGGTCTGCCATTTGATTTTAATTAAGTGTTGAGAAGGATAGTTTTACGGAATCATAGAACTATTCTTGCCTGCATAAATACGAAATACAGAGTGAAAGTCTCATTGTAAGGTACACCATATATCATTTATCCTCCATCATTTATATATGTAAAGATTGGAATGGAAAACAACAATGCTTTTCCTTTCCCCCTCTAAGCCAAGAATTTTCCTAAAGGTATAAAGTAATAAAGATTTAACAAAAAGGATGGATATTGGAAGATGCCACTGAACCAAAAATATACACTGGGTCTAAGAGACACTTTAAAAGCATTGGATCTAATCCTTCCAGGGTTCTCTTCTTGGGAATGATGACATAATTTTGATTCTAGCTATCATGGCTGCCATCTGCGTATGCATATATCTGCTATTAACGTTTCATTATCAAAGGTGCCACAATTTATCTTTCAATAAATAAGTAATGGCTATAAAATACTAGTGAATGGAGAATTAAAAAACTTAAAATTTTTTTTAAATTTGGAAATATACCATAATATATAAAAATATAAGTTTTCTTAGCTTTTCTAGGCTTGCCTTATAGTGAAACAAAACGAAAAAAATGCTAACCTAACAATAAAGATGAAAACATACTAAACAGTTAAATTATAAGAGAATTTTATTAATTAGTTATTTGAGTCAAATGGCCTGACTCATTAGCAGGATTTAGATGTAAAAAACCGGCCTGACTTAACTCGAATAAATAATTCCTACTAATGAATTTGGTTATTCGAGTCAAATTTATCTAGATTTTGTAAGTTAACTTCTCTTTGGTTCGATCTGGCTACAAATAAAAAGTGAAATATTAAAAAGTAAATGAAAAGGTACACTTCATAATATTTGAATAAATGATTTATAATGCAAATTATATAAAAGTATGGAATAAATTTTGACTTGTGCCTAAGAGATAATCGTATAATACAAAGAACCAAAAATAAATAAACTATACACTTGAGGATTTGAATCATTTTTTCGCAAAAATTTTTTCTATTTTTTTTTGTGTTCTTATCTTTTATTTACATAATTCATTTGAACAAGCTTTCCATTTTATATTTCCTTTCTTTATCTATTTATTGAAATATGATATATTTTCCTACTACTAAAATTTCATATTTGTGGTGTTCTTTGAGAATTCCTATAATCTACCTTATTTATATTGTGAACTAATTTAAATTCATTTCCGATTCGCATTGAAAGTCAATGGGAAAACAATTTTTATTTTAAATCATTAAAAAAAAATTTTTTAAATTCCGAAACTTTTTTCGACCAATCAAATTACCTGACTGATTAATGTTTAGTCTAGCCTTTTTATTTCCTATTAAGCCATCAACATAATGCAATGGAACCCTGATCCAAAGTTTCTTAAATTAATTAAAATCTTAATCGTTAAATCTAGGAAAAATTTAAAATGGGTATATTTAAATTGTGTAATATTTATATTTATATAACCAGATATTTTTATAAGGTAATTGCGGGAATAGGTTATACATTGGAAGGTTAAATCGTTTACTTTTGCTATTAGTTATTACCAAATACAATGATAAAGGAATTTGAGATTTTATATTTTTTTGCTTGGATTGCTGCCACATATGATTATTATATATATTTAAAAAATTGTTATTTATAGAAAAGCGTCTGTGGCGCCTATTCGGTGCAAGTGTATATCGCTAATCACATAATTCTGGGTTCGAATCCATTTATTTCTGAAACCAAGTAGGTGGATGTGTGCTATAGGGTATGATAAAGAGCATTGGAAACGATCGGGTGGTTCCTTCTTTTAATATATAATAATATGAATCTTAATGCATTTTAATAAAAGTTTATCGTTGTTTCACAAATCGCTATCTTTTGACTTAGCAGTAACTAATATTCACAGGGTATTATTGTTTAAGAAAAGTTTTAAACGGCGTATATATACTTTTAATTCTATCCTAATTTAAAATTAAGAAAACATTTAGTTTAATACTTTTAATACTCATTAAATTATTTAATTCTTTATTTCCTCAAATTTTCAAACTTTATATTATATGTAAGAAGATCCGGCCAAGTCGGCTCAAGGGCTCGTCAGTTCAGAGATTTTAAAACTATCACTGTTTAAGAAGTTCAATTTTTATATATTTATTTACAGAAAAAAAATATCCCTCAGATATTTACATTTATATACCTCTGATATTTACACTTTTTAATGTTAAAATGTGTTTTTTGGAAATCTAAATAAAAATATTTTTGCATCGTGATTAAACAGTTTAGAAATGATAAAATAAATGGACATCCCATTAAAGTGGAAGTAAAAACCCTCACTAAGCTGACCCTTGAGTCAGATTTTTGAGCCGATTAGTTTTTTTTAGAATTGATAGTTCTAACAATAACTTTGATAATTTGATTTTTCGTCTTGTTAAAAAAAAAATATGTATATGAAGCATTTATTTTAGATTAATGTAACATGTTTAAACCAAATCTCAATTATGGTGTAAACATATAATAGAATCAAATATTTAATTACTATCTCGCGTTATCCTCTCATCTGAAATGTTTAAATTCTATAATAAAGGGTCCTAAAGACCTTCTAATAATTATAGGGGAAAACCCATATTGATCCCCATCTCCTTAGCAAAATCCCGGATAGGCCTATGAAACATTTTATATTTTTTTTAGGTCAATGTTTAATAAATTTTGATTTAAATTTTATTTACTTTTATTCTTACAAGCATAATAATATTTCATATAGCAATTTATTGTTTATAAATAAAAAATTAAATACTTTTATATATAAAGAGGGGAAAAAAGTAACGACAATATTGAGTAATTAATTATCCTTTCTGAAGCATTTGCTCCATCAAATTTTGTAAGCTTTTTATATTGTTATCAGAGTTCAAAAAGGATTGACCATAGACTTTTTCCTGACTTAGCATATCCGGTATTTCCAGTCCAACTTTTTAAATTAATGTTAAAAAATAATTATAAATTTTGGTATAGAAAAAAAATGATCAAAATAAAGTTAATTATATTATATAATAAACTCAAAAAAAAGTTATAAGAATGTTTTTAGAAATTGGTATTGGATGTAAATTTGTTCGAATATGTATAACATAATCTATTAATTAATAATATATCCCATCCACGAATTAATTTAAATGACATTAAAACAATATTGAGCTAAAACTAGGGCCTTATTTAGAAATTAATTTTTTCTAATTTGTATCTAATAACGAAAAGATAACAGCAAAATACATGTAGATTTAGTTCATTTCATTATATCATATCAATAGTTACATATTCGTTTCGAGAGGATGGGCTTATAATCATAACCTTCGCGATAATTTCGAGCCTTAACATAATGGATATCTATATATTAATAGATATATATATCAGAGACCTTCATTTGGGCTTTAACTTAATCGATAGAGACCTTCATGGGATTGAATTTTTTGATCAGGCCCAGTTCAGGCCCGTAGTAAAAAATAATTATAGGCCCGGCCCATATTAAATATTTAAAAAAATTCCCAGGTCCTGTCAAACCCCATAATATGTTTAAAAAAATTTTGATCAAGCCCGGCCCAAGGCCATATTGAAAAATTTAATTAATTATATTGAATGAAAATACAAATATTTCAGTGTATTTACGCAATCATTTTATTTGCAATACTGGAAATTATTATTATTAGAAGTAGAAAATTGCAATATTTTAAGTTAGGCACTGTGTTAAATAAACTAAAATTAAATGAAAATTTTTTATACCCAAGCCTTTTAAAAAATTAAAAAACCCAAGGCCCTGCCCAGGTCCGCTAGAAAATATAATATTAGGCCTATGAGCTACGGGCCGGTCCGGCCCATGAAGGTCAATTCTTTCTTTCTTCCTTTCTTTCTATATTTATTTATTTATTTTTTAAATTTGTTATTTATGGCATACATTGAGGGTCTTCTTGATTGAATAGTTTATAGATAGTATTAATCTTGTTCATTATTGCCTTTCTGTATATCGGATATTCCATAATTGAAGGGTCCATATATTTTTGGAATATATCTTCGAACCTCATATTTACATTATCTTGATAGGATTTTAAGTATAAATTATATTTAGTCAACGTTTCTTAAATTAAGAAAAATATATAGGCGCCTTGTTTTTTGCAAATATTTTAAAATATATAAAAATTTTATTTCAGAATTCAAGCCCAGGCCCCCCAAATATTTTTAATAATAACAGGCAGGGTCTCGAATATATTGTATATTATATGTGTCGTAAGTTATGCTGGTATAATAAGTGTTCCAGAATCCTAAGTGAAGTCTAAATCAACTTACGAGGGCCCTTTTTAAAATTTTAAAAAATCATATTTCTCCGGAAATGTATTCTAGCATGTTAAGGTAAACCTACCCTATGAATTTAAGAGGGTGGTTAAAATAGCGCGCTACTTTTTTCAGTAGCGGTAGCTTTAGCGGGCTACTCTTTTTTTAGAAAATAGCGATAGCGGTAGCTCGCTACTAAATACATCTAAAAATTATTAAAATATATTTTTTATTAAATCTAAAATAATAATCTTTTTTTTAAATTTAATTTTGAAATTTAAATTTATATTTTAAAATATACATTAAAAATCTAGTTATTAAAAATGTGTGAGATTGTTGAAGATAGCGAAATTTCTTTGGAAAATGAGAAAAATATAGATTATCCTTTCCCAAAATTGAAAAAATACTTTAATCTTGAAGAAAAAATTACTACTGGATATCAGTTTCGATGTAAGATGTGTCGCAAAATTTTATCCTCAAATCATACAAGCAGCTTTAATTTGAAAAAAACATTTAAAGGTTGATATTAAACAAATTTAATATCAATGAGTAGGCTAATCCTTAATTTTTAAAATAAATTTAAACCATAGACCAATCATTCATAAATTTTATCTAAATTATTTAAAACATTTTAAAATAATTATTTCAATCATTTTTATGTACTTATCTCCTACATAATATTTATTCTAAGTATTACTGTTATAATTTTAGACTGTTCACACCACAAATTATAAAGAGATTGAAAAATATAATGGAAGAAATACATCCACTTCCAAATCAAATTTAATTCAAACAAAATTAAACAATTTGGATTCATCAACACCAGGTGTATCTCAAAAATTGGCTGACAAAGTCATAATGAACTTTATAATAGATACTATTCAACCATTATGCTTGGTGGATAATGGTTCTTTTATAAAGATGATAAAATGCTTTATTGCTTGATTAGCCATAATTTAAGTTGGCTTACAACACAATCTATAATATTAATATATAGTATTAATATAAAATTCAAAATTAATATATTATTAATTACCTTGTGTATAATAATTATATTTTTAAAATCTTTATTTACCATAATTTAATGCTATTTTAATATTTTTTTATAAATGAATCTAAATCTCAGATAAATTTAAATTTTGAAAATTAAAAAGGTATTCTTCTTTTTTTATAATAAATACAATCGCTTTATATAAATTAGATTTCCAGATCTGTATGATGATGATAATGTAATAGCTGCTATCGTTCATCCTAGTTTCAAGTTAAATTGGCCATACATTAATTTGACTGAATCTAAATGGCAACTTGATAGGCTGATGGTAACGTTAAAAAATGCCATGCCTAACCACGACACTAATACTATAGCAAGATCGAAACCGCGGCCTTCTATGGACGATTTTTTGAAATAAATAATAATAATATTGAACCTCTAGATGCTTTTTTAAATCTAAAAATATTGATGATTTTTTTCATATGAAAAATGTGTTTATACTGCGTTGCCCTCAAGTGCAAGTGCTGAACCATTATTTAGTATGGCAAAGCTTATACTTTCTGATGGTCGCTCTAGACTTGGGGATGACAGTACAGAAATGTTATTATTATTAAAGTGCAATAATAAATAAATTATATATATATATTATATATTTAACAAATTACAGTCATATTTTATACCAATATTTTATTTGTGGAAATAAAGTTACGTAAAAAATATTTTTAAAAATAATCAAAAGAGCGTAAATAGTAGCTTTCGCTACTTTTTTTAAAAAGTAACTAATAGCGCGCTACTCATTTGAAAACGATAGCGGTAGCAATAGTGCGCTACTTTTAAAAGTAGCGTTTATCAACACTGGAATTTAGAAATATTTGGCCATAAGTTTTTATATATTTATACCTTAAATATAAATTAATAGTAATTCAAAAGTTCACGGCAATATTATCTGAAAATGGGATTAGGTTACCCTACACCATGCTAAGGAATCATATCCGGTAGAATTATATATATATTTTAAAAAATGGCGGTCTAAAATTAAGAGATTCTAAATCATCACGTTATACGCCAAATTTCCAAGACGTTAGCTTGGTTCCTATATAACATTTTATTTCAAAAACTCTAATTATTTATTTAACAACAAATAAAAAATCTCGAAGCTAAAAATTTAAATATTTACTAAAAAAAGGAGACTCGTAGATCTATTTAATATTGTATTGAATCATTGTCTATATTTTTTAAGAAAAAATTATATTTATCAATTGAAATATATTTGTACTATACCGTCTTTGTTAACAATTAAGGGTTTCTTCATGAGCCTATAAATTCTGTAATTAGTTGTGGGTTTTTGTTCCTCAAACCAAGGTTTGGCCTTAACGAATACCTGTTGAGATATGTGGATGGAGTAAGTGGTGAATAAACTTATCCCCAATATGATTTTTAACATGGTCATCATCTTTAAAAAATATTTATATATTTAAAATATAAATTTTATTCAGTTATTTTTAATAATATTAAACTATTAAACTAATATTAAATGTATATAGTATGTATAATTCCTTTTTTAATTAAATATTAATAAGAGAAACTTATAAGCAAGATCACCTACTTGCATAATTTTCTCTACAAAATTATTAATTTTTGATGACTATCAAATACATTTAATCAATTAAAACTGTTCACTCAAAGAATCAGTCCTCTGAATGGCTAAAAAAAATTAAAAGCCTTTGAGTGATCAATTTAAAGCTATAGTTTTAACGAGATTTATTCTTTTATTAATATGATTTTTAAAATGACTATATATTTATATAATTTCATATATTATTAATTAATATTAAATTTATTAACATAACATTTATATCATCTTACATGTGAAATATCGATGTAAAAATTTATCAAAATAATTCATAAACCAAGCCATTAATTTATTTTTAATTAAATTTATTTAACATTCATACTACATATCTATCTTATAAAAAAAATTAAGAACATCATTTTTAATGGTAAGAAGCCTGAACCTAAAAACTTTAGAAAATTTAACTCTAATTGAAAGTATTACAATTCTTTTGATGATATACAGTGGCAGTAAATGTATTCTTCAAATTTTAAAAAATTACATTGCACTTATGCAAATATACACAAATTAAGTAAATCATAGAAAAAATTTCTTTCAGTTTAGCATTACTTGAATTTAGTGATCATTCAAAATGGCATATTAGTTAAAATCGAAATATATCGCATAAATATTTTAAAAAATGCGATATGTTTCGCTTTTCAACAACTAATATATTTATTCATCCTTTTTGCACATAACAATATCTACTTCTTTTAAAAATGAATTATAACGTTTTATAACTTATAATTGATATAGATTTTATGATAATTTTCCGAGACCCGCCAAGGAACAAAAAAACCATTCACTTTCAAGCCCGGCTCGAATTCTTTAAAATAAATTTTTTTGCTTGGTTAGGAATTATTAAAAATTTTGTTTATTTTAAATAATTTTGGATGTATTTTATAAAATTATTTAGGGAAATTGAAAATATAAGCAGTTGAATATTAAACACTTCATTAAATTATTTTCCAACATTTGCCAACTGATTAATTAATGTACAATTTAAAATGATAAATTTAATCTGGCCTGATTTTATATAAAAAAAATAAATGTGGGTGGAAATTGTTCCGCGTCTGTATGTATCTGATTTTTACGAGAAGTCAGAAAAATTTTGTTTTTCCATTAATGATATTTCTTTGTGAGGCAGGCTTAGACCTGTGCGCCACCGGTATTTTTATTCACGCCGGAAAAGCCGCCGATTGAGATCATCGGCGCGAGCCGGCTCGTTGCCGATTTTTATTATGGCGGCGGCGCGGCGTGTGTGATTTTTAGAAAGCATATTAATTATATTTATATATATTATTTTATTTTAAATACTAACATTAATTAAATTAAAATATGAATTGTATTCTATTGCTATATATAATAGAATAGTGTATATTATTTACATTTATTCATACATCATATTTTATTTCCACAAACAATTCATATTAATTATTTATATGGATTTGCACGTTTTAAACCACCCTATATACAATTATGAAATCAACTCTCTCTACTAATCATAAATCAAGTTATGTCTGGAGGTACTTTGGAAGTCTTATTTTGAAGAATGAAAATAAGAAAAGCACAATAATGCCTGATTATTGCTTAAAATTGGCGAAAATACTTAATTCATTTTCACAGTAATTTATTTTTATTTTAGTTATGAAATAAATTTTTTTAGTAAGAATATAAGTACAAGTAATCTTTCTCTGCACAGTTAATGTCCATTAAATATCAGAAAATATTAATAATGATAAATCCATTCAAATTTAAAAATGTTTTTAAAGGCAACATCAAGATGTAGCAACAATATAAAAGATAAAAAATGGCTCTTAGGTTATTATTATTGTTTATTATTATTCATTTAAAATTTTTACTTGTTTGTTAAATTAAAGCTTTATTTTGAAAGTTCAAAAAAACTAAATTTTTAGTTTGTTTATTGCCAGCTCTGTTTTGAGATCTTTTTAATGTATAAACCTAATATATAATTTATTTAATTAATTATGTAAAACTTTATTTTGATAGTTAAAAAAATTTATAATCTGTTTCATTCCAGCTCTAATTATTTTGCTGTTTTAAATTCATTTTAATATTTAAAATAAATATGAAATCTAATAGAGCGAAATTATGTTTTAATGCGCAGCTTAGATTTAATGCCATTTGATTCTATAAACAATAAAGGAATATCAGATTTTCTAAAGGTTTAAAATTTATATAAAATGATTATTAAAAAATAAATTGCCTAAAAAATAGAAATATAAGATAATTTATTCCACGTAAGAATTCCCAAATAGGACAACCAATAGTTGGACGCACTCGACCATGTTTATTTATCTATAAAGGCGTATGTTTTAAATCTGATTGATTGTGGACCAAAATTTTGTTCTATCACTTATGGTCCGATCATTTCAAGTGTCGAAATTATATCACATTTAGCCTTCATCACTTATATGAAAATTTTGATTTAAAATATTTTACCCTAGCAACTAGAAATGTGACTCAAAAGTATACTGGGGGAACAATATTATCGAGATTGATAGTATTGAAGAGGAGTTCCATTTATAAGCCAAAATAATACATGTGATAACTGATGCTGGAGCCAATGTCAAAAGAAGCGTCAGATTAGGCGATTATGAATCATTTATGCTTAGGGCATGGACTTCATAATTTGGTTACAGTTGATGGCATAAAAAAAATTGCCAGAATTGATATTCTCATTAAAAAAATTAGAGAAATTATTTCAGCCCTCAGATATCGAGTAGCTGATTTGGAATGCGAAATTGAGGCTGAACATCGTAAATGTCTGCAGTCAATTTAGGAAACAGGTCATATCTTGGATATTGATGATTCTGTTCCATAACTTGATGACCATTTTGATATGTCTGATGAATCGGATAATAGAAATAGCATTGCACCAACCAATCTAATTAATGCAACAACTTTAAAATTAAATTGCCCAACCCGCTGGCATAGCATACTAATTATGCTAGAAAGTGTTCGCAGTGTAAGCAAAAGTCCTATAAATAATGTTCTAAATAAAATAGGAAAACATTCTTTAAAACGCTTTAATAATAAATGTGATAAGATTGATGAGCTTTACGCAGTATTAAATCCATTTCGAGAGTCGGTGGAATTTTTTTCCTCTTAAAAAGGATCGCCAATAAACTTAGGGTTATTATTTAGCAGTGAAATAGAAGCTCATATACAAATCAATAGATCTGATTGCTCAGATATTATTTGCTTAAAAGAAAATATGAAAAAAAAGCTTGACCATAGGTTTCCCGAACTTCAAGTTATTTTATATTTTTATTAATAAAATTATATTTTAAACATTAGATATTAGCAAACTTGATCCCAGGTTTCAAAATCTTAAAGTTATTTCAGAATATTTAAATTTGATAAATCTGAATTCTGACTTAGTATATTTCATACTTTATATTTTGCTTGCATTCCAAATTTATATTAATTATAATAAAAATCAATAGAATATTTATTATATGTGTTGTTGATGTGACTCGATCTGAGTAAAAATGCAATTCCTTAGTCTATTTCTGAGAATGAGAAAATACATAAATTTTAATTGAAGTGAGGCAGGAAATAATTTAAGATCAATTAAACTATGTTAACAATGTGTAAGTAAAGATCGCCCAAAGATAAATTATAAAAAAATGTAATACATTGATTTATAAATTAAATTCATTAAAAAATAAATTGATTTATAAATTAAATTCATTAAAAAAAATTTTTAAATAAATATTGCGCCGCCGCCGACAATTTAATAGGCGGCGGCAAAATCGGCGCGCCGCCGTACGCCGATATAAAAATTAAAAAATACCGCCGCCATCGTTTGAGACATCGGCGCACAGGTCTAGGCAGGCTTAATTTATTATATAAAACAACAAATAAATATGATAACTCTATTTTTATGACATACATTTAATTTAAGTTTAACAAAATAATTATTACAAAAATTATATTATGAATCAATATATCCTTATTAAAATTCAATCTAGGTTTAAAAAGAAATTGATAGTTAACAAATAATAAGAGGTTAATGATGGATACTGCTAAGTTAACATATAAATATAATAAGACCCGCTTATTATTTAATATTTTTACGGAATTAGTCGTCAAATCCGATCTCCTATATATTCACCCCCCCCCCACCCAAAGACTGAACTACCAAGTTGGATTAAGAAAAAAAAACATGATCTTTGCTGGGATTCGATCCCAAATCCATCTGATTGTGGCAAGTGCCAAGTAGGCCAAGGAGGCTTTGCAAAACTCACAATTTTCAAATATACATTATAAATAAATTTGACAGTACCTATCCAAATGAAAAATATTAATTTGATAGGTACTACCTTGGGCAATATCCTTAACCATCATAATTGGCTCATAAATCGATTTAAAAACGCTAAGCTATAATAGATCAATTTAAAAATGGAAATGAAATATAATACATATTAAAATGACATATCTATACGATCAATTTCATTGGAGCTTCACGGAATAACAATTAGTCAGGATTTAACCAAAAAATTATCAACGAAATATAAATGATAATCTAAAATAATTTTTATTATTTATGATCCAAAAAAGTAATATTGCATAAACCATAAATTAATGATTTTCCCTTATTTTTAAAAAAAGAAAATTCTGAAAATTATTTTTAAATCTTATCCCATTGTAACTTTCAGGTTTAAAAAATATTTCTAAAAATATCTAACCATTTATTGATTGGATAATTGAGAACAAACTTCAACCATGTTATATCACTTTATATATTTTAAAAACTATATATTACTATATTTTTATCAGAATTTGAAAGAAGAGCAAAAATCTTTGAAGAATTT